ACTATTCTAGCTGCAAATGTCTGGTTTTTGGTGAAATATCAACATAGTTGTATAGAGACCCATTTCCAGCAACTATCACTCCAGTGTTCTAATGGTAAAATGTGTTTGCTCATTGGCTCAGAAGGCTAATTGATGATTAGAAAATGTATTTACCCTTAACTTGAGTAGAAAAATAAGATGTTTTGGAATGGAATCAGCATTTTTACCCTTAAAATTAGATAATTGGATATTATGCACTTGAAATAAGTTGACTTGAGTACATTTTTTTATATTTTTTTTTTATAAATGTAAATTGTCTTACTTGATTGGCAAAGTGTCTCACTTACCTGCTTAACTGAAGAAAAAAAGTCACTAATTCTCAGAAAAAAAAGGACTTACTTGTATTTAAATGTTTAGCAGTGCGGTATCTAATATCACATCCCTGATATCAGTACCGGCTAATTAGTCAATAAGGGAGCCGGTATCAGATCCAGGTATCAGATCTAGTTAATTTGCCAACAAATGTTTCTTTTGGTTTAAATTAAGACTTCTGTACCATTTGTTATCATTGTCTCATTGTTAATCATGTCTATTAAGGAACATAAAGCAATAATCGGCCTAAGAAATAATCGGTTAGACTGATTCCAAATAATCTGCATCTGCGTCAGCTTTAAAAAGAACCTTTATGGGTTGATCACTACTTATTGCAAACTTCAATCAGGACGCATTGCTGCTGCTTGTTCTCTAATACAAACATCTAAGGCCTTGATAGAAACAAATAATGTGACTTCCAATGACTGCTGCATTTGGGGTATAAGATAAAAGTTATTTTATTAATTCTATTAGCAAGATTTTGGTAATTCTTCTTAATATACCCTATTGATTTTGGGGATTTTAATGGTGTGAAATGTAAAGACTTGTATGCAGAAACAGAACCTGACCTCTTGGTGCTGGAATGAGGGCGCTGGTTGGCAGCCAGCTGCTGCAGGCCCAGGGTAGGACTGTGGAAGAGGACGCCGCTGCGTCGGAGCAGCTTTTGCTTCATGGCCGGCAGGCTGCTCCAATCCTGAACAAATCTCAGCACCTAGAGGGGGAGGAGGGGGACGGGAGAGACGAGACAACTCGCATTACGCTCGGTTTCAATTCGAAGCTGCTGGAGCCTTCATCTTCATCACAAATTGATGCCTCGGACGTCGGCGCCGTTTCTAAAAGCAAAACATTTTTCTCATTTTTGAGAATAGTCCTGGAGCTGAAAACAAACAATTCAAACTGAGACACTTTTCCAGACAGCTGAACAAAACTCATCAGAGCAAAAAAAGAGATGTGTATACCTTTAGCAAGTCGAGAATTCAAAGAAAATCCAGCAAAGATAAAGCAAACGGCCCCCCGGTCACCAACGCTTAATGGGCAATTCACCGACATATATTACACTCGAGAAGCGTTTATCTTCATGAATGATACACACTGTCAGAAAGAGATGACTTCTGAGAAGGAAAATTGTATTTTTTAGACAGGTTCTAGTTGTCATAAGTGTATAAGGTGCTTTTGTAGACGGTTCAAAAGCTGAAGAGGGAGTGTGTGCCTTTAACTCTTATTAAAACCACTACTGTACATCATTTATGTCATATTTGTGGACATTTCTATACCTAAAGAGAATTTTAAAAGCATTTTGTATTCTTTATAAGAGAGCTTTTTAAAGAAAACCTCATTCCGCCTTATTTTATACCCACAATACGTGCTTGAGAGGGACTTTGGAAGATAAATAGCTTCAATAAGAAAGATTCCTGTTCTCTTTTCTTTTCAGGCAAAAGTCCCCTGGTTTGTCTTGGTTAAGTTACACCTACCGAGTACAACTGAAATATTAGACATTCAAATGCAGTTTTTCGAACAATTTATCTGCAGCTTGTTTTTATTTTTCCCTAAATTACAGTGGCTGCAGCAGAACTCGCACAGCACTGCTGTCTACGCCGCATCACCGCCCACATTAAACTGTTTGCCTGGTATTGATTGCGAGGGACAATCGGAGGGTAACAGGGCATAAATGATGGGTCAGAGGATGGATGCAACTCACGCCTCGGTTTTACGGAGCAACATAAACAATGCGACAGGTGGGCTGTCTGTCAGCGACTCTGATACTGCTGCGGCAGGTTTCAGGATTTAATACGTGCGGGGGTCGTTTGAGGCGATGATCCGTCTCCTTTAACGACCCTCATAAAACCGTACTTTCTCTTCTGCTGTTCTCCTCTGCGATGAGGAACCCTCACACCGACGCCCGCCTGAGGCGCCTTTCCCCATTTCTAAACTTCATCCTGCTTCCTTAGCATACCTCTCAAGTCTCCTGCACACTTTTTATCTCTGAGTCTCAGTTTTACCAGACTCAGTTCCAGAGGTCTCAGACTTTTAGTTCTTCTGATGAATTTCCTGCAAATATTTCTACTGTGAACAGACTCAAAATATGGAGATCTGTGAGCAACGAAGACAGAAAGATGGATGGGTGGATGGATAGATAGATAGAGGGATGGATGGATGGATAGAGAGATGAATGGATGGAAGGATAGATAGATGGATGGATGGATGGATGGATGGATAGAGGGATGGATGGATGAATGGATGGATGGATGGATGGATAGAGGGATGGATGGATGAATGGATGGATAGAGGGATGGATGGATGAATGGATGGATGGATGGATGGATGGATGGATAGAGGGATGGATAGAGGGATGGATGGATGGATGGATGGATAGAGGGATGGATGGATGGATGGATGGATGGATGGATGGATGGATGGATGGATGGATGGATGGATGGATGGATGGATG